GAAAGAAGTAACAGGAAAATGAAGGGAGAAAAGCACCATGTTTAGGTGCCAATGTGTACACTTTTGATATTTGGTGGCTCCCTTGGAACCAGAAGATTCTATGATTTAAATATCAATATTTTTTCGATCTATTTTAGGGATTTTATTTTTCTCTGAAAATGTGATTTTGTTTAAGCCTTTTGTAGCTTTGCTTCAGTATATCCCCGAACCTTATGATCGAATTTTTAGGCGGGTATTAATTTTTTTTTTAAAAAAAATATAGGGGTAGCAATTACCTAATCTTAATGATGACGGGTTTTTGCTGTGTGTTGTCATCATTATTCATGTGGATGAATTAAATAAAATTTTATATTATTTTACTTTGATTTTTAAATTTTTATTAGTTCTAATTAGAAAACAATTGATGATTTTATTTTTTTATGAAATAATAGGATTGAAAAAGAAGGGTATCAAAATGAAAAGTAGAAAATATGAATGGTATAAAAAAAATATAGGGGTAGCAATTACCTATAATCTTAATGATGAGGGGTTTTTAACCATCTAGGTGGTGGCCAAGTGGTAAGGACTTGAGATCTAGACGTTTGTTTCCTCTGTAGTCTCAGGTTCGAGTTCTTGGTTGCTCATATGATGACCACTGGAGGCTTACATGGCCGTTAACTTTAGGGTCTATGGGATTAGTCGTGGTGCAGCGTAAGCTGGTCTGGACCCCATGTTAATCTAAAAAAAATGATGATGGGTTTTTGCTGTATGTTGCATCATTATTCATGTGGATGAATTAAATAAAATTTTATATTATTTTACTTTGATTTTTAAATTTTTATTAGTTCTAATTAGAAAATAATTGATTTTGTTTTTTTATGAAATAATGGGATTGAAAAAGAATATCAAAATGAAAAGTAGAAAATATGAGTGGTGTGTTATAAGTTTTAAAAAAGATGTATTTTGATTATTTAACTTAAACAATTATTTATGAAAATTATACAATTTTGATCTTTTAATATTTTTTTAATTTTATTTTGATTTAAAAATTTATTTTTGTTATTTTTTTCATGTTTTTTTTTTTAAATCACTGATTTTGACAATAAAAATATAAATATATCATTAACATTAATTTAAACTATTAAAATATTAATGCTAATTTAAACTATTAAAATAAATAATATTTATATCAAATTATTTTATTTAACGAGCGGATTGTGTGCTGCCATAAACGATGTTCTACCTATATTTATTTATTTATTTATGAAAAAAAAAAAAGTGAAAACAGGTTGTCGCCTTTTTCCCAATCAAAAGCAAAAAAAGGGCCGGTTGTGTATACCTGCACGTGCAGGCCCCGCGAGAGGGGTTTCTTTTTGTTTTTTGGATCAAGTGCTCTAAGCCACTATTTATTTAACCCATTGTGATTTTGTCCTTCCTTTTTAATTAAATTTCATTGAAATAAACATTCTAATAAGACAATTACCAAGAAAAAATCACATTAATATGACACAAAGGTTTTAAGTAAAAAAATTATTTTTTATCCTAAGAACCTATTGAATATTTATTCTTATCATCTTTTATTTTTATTGAGTGAAGTTCATCACATTATAATTTCTGGTTGAGAGAAATATATTAATAAGAAAAAAAAGGATAGTACTCGAAACTTTTTTTTAGTTTGATTGAATTTAATTTTTTTATATATAAAAATATTGTTAACACATAATATAAAAAACAATTGAATGAGTACTAACAACACGTATCAGTTATCTTAATTTATATTTATTTTTTATTTTTTTAATTTAATTTTTAATTTGGATCAACATTTTATTTTAATATTTATTTGTATATATAATTCTTTATGTATTTGACTAAATAAACGTGTTAATTTTTTTTCGCCACTCTTGTTCTTTTCATTAAAAACTAATTTTTAATCCAAGTAGGATACAACTAGGATAAAGTTGACTAGATAAATAGCTTAAAAAGTTAGTATTTAAGGGTAAATTATATTATACTTTAAAAGATGTTAAAAAAACAGTGTAGAGGTATCGTGAACATAAACTTTTTGCACTGTGAATCTTACTGTACACAAAGTATTTGCACTATAGACAATAATATAATAGTAGGGGGTGTTGTCCTTTTTATTTTTAGTCAAAAAATATTGTTCTGTTTGACTTAACCGCCAGACTCAATGTTGTTGGATCTGACTTCATAGATAGATCCAAGGAAAAACATTGTGCATATACTATATACATAGAATGTTTGTATTGTGGACCATACTATAAACATACAGTGTATGCATTGTTGAAGACATTGTAGCATCAAAAGGCATTGTTTTTACTATTTTTTAGTCAAAAAATGTTTGGCTTAGCCGTCATGTGCAAATGCTATTAGGTTTGACATTCTCACCAAGCTGAAGGATATTGGATCTAGCTTCGCATCCAAACCCTAAGATATTGAATCTGTCTGAGTAGCCCTACCGGAATATATTAAGCATAGCTCTGTGATCAAATCCAAGGATACTGAGTCTGATTGGGCCACCAGACCTAGGGATATTAGGGTTGACTCAGACACCGCAACCACACCTAATAGCATTTGTCCTAATGCTTTAGGGTCTGATTGCCGAGCCGGATCCAATACTTTTGGGCCTAACATTCTTGCCAGACCCGAGGCTCCTTCAATTGGGCTCAATATTATTGGGTCTGACATTCCCACCACACCTAAGGCTTCTTGGATCCAGCTTCGCAATTATACTAAAAAATATTAGATTTGATCGTGAGGCCAGACCCAATGTTATTGGATTTAGTTAGGCTATCAAACCCAAAAGCTCTTGTGTTTAACTATTGAGCTAGACTCCGTGCTTTTAGGTTTGACAAGGCAACCCTACACAATGATATTGAGTTTGACAGTTCCTTAGATCTAAGGCTATTAGATCTCGCTGAGCCGTCAGATATAATTGTCTTGCCCTCCAAATTTAAGGATATTGAGTTTGGCGCCGCAGCCAGATCCAACAACATTTAAGTCTAGTTGCTTGGTTCTGACTCTTTATTCTTCATGTTTATTTTACATTTAAAAAAAAATTATTTTTGACCGCAGCCAGATCCAACAACATTTAAGTCTAGCTGCTTGGTTCTGACTCTTTTTATTCTTCATATTTATTTTACATTTAAAAAAAAAATTATTTTTGACCTGTTACATAATGTGGGCCAATATGCTAGTATGTTATTATTTATTGTGTTATATCACAATAATAATTTAAAAATAAATAAATATTTTTTTTTAAGAACAAATGATATATGTGATTTTATAAAATCTGTTATTTTCACAATTAAATTTTGACTATATTATTTTTTTAATATTTTACTCCTGCCGTGCTATTTTGAAAACAAAAGAAAAAAACTCCATTTCCTTCCCTTTCTGTTCTTGCTTCACTGGCAAGCAGGATTCAAGGAGATATGAGGAATCTTCCCAGCCGCCCTTGGTGCAGGAAACGTCTCCGCACTTTGCAAGCAGTAAAATAAAACAATTCTAAACTTATTCAAGAAATAATATATTTTAACGAGTCATATGCGACGTTTGAAATTTTCTAAAATAATAATAATAATATATGTAATTTTATTAAATTTTTTAAAAAGTTATTTTAAATTTTAAAAATATATAAATATTATCTTTATCACAATTAATAATTATTTATTTAAAAAATAATTATTAAAAAATAAATAAATATTAGTTTCAATTTCATAAAGATAACGTTTATTTAAATTTAAAAGTTATTGTTCCAATTCACGACAAAGGTTTACAGTTTTTAAGTTTCTTCTGGCAAGTCAAGTCACCCTCTTAATTAATGGTTTTGCATGTTGTTTATTAATTTCAGCAATAATATTCTAAATTATCATAAAATCAAATGGAGTCTAGTTTTCTCCCGTTGAATAGAAGAAAAGGTCAATCTTGGAGCGGTAACAGCAACGTCCTCTTTTATTCATTTTTTATTAATTAATATTCATCATTATTAAATATTTGTCAATATTAAAAATGTATTTTGCATAATTAAAAAAATCATCAAATTTAACTAATATTAAATAAAAAACATATTTAAAAATAGACTCTGTAATAACAAATAATCCACTAATAAAATATATTTTAATTTAAACAAGGACTTACAAATATGGCCATTCCATAAACAAACATTAAAAAGAAAAAAAGAAAAAAAATGTTGGATTTCGTAGCCAGGACATAATGTCTAGTTCTAATTTAAAGAAAAAAAAAGCTTTAAAATAAATAAAGAGATAAAAACTGATATCTGTGGTTCCATTCAAGCTTAATCCCTAACAATGCAGATCGAATTTTTATTTTATTTTACAATAAGTCTCAATTCCTTATGTTCACTATGATAGATCGATTATTCATCATCTATCAATCATCATTATCTCAATTCAAATAAATATTATACTAATCGAAGATTAAAACTAATATTTATTTATTTTTTAGATTTAAAACAACTTTTATTCTTTTTTAATATAATCGCGTCTGCTATAACTTTTATTCTTTTTTAATATAATCGCGCCTGCTATACTTTTTTAAAGAGTCATACATGCCACGCGTGACTGGCTAACTTTATCATTTTTTAAATTAAACTCTCATTCTTTTAATTAAATTTTGAACTGTGCTAGTCTACCCATTGTTTTTACGACTGTGCTTCTTCTTCTTCTTCTTCTTCTTTTTATAAAAAAGACCATACCCAGAAACTCATGGAAACCACCTAGACCTAACTCGTGACAAATTAGTAATGGCAGATTCCTTTTGGGTAACAGGTAAACGAGGATGCCATGTATTCTTATATTTTATTTAGATCAATCACGAGTGTTTTTATTTCCTTTTCTTTTTCCTTCTTCCCTTACACTTCGAGCAAAGAAAATAAGTACGACCAGCCATTTAGCTGCTGAAGGGATTCACTGAAAAGAAAGAAAGACTTCATTCGTGGCCAAGTTAAGAAGAGAGAGAGAGAGAGAGCAAAACCAAAAACAGAAGAAGAAAAGCTGCTCTGAGATTGGTGCTGGGAAAAACGCAGGAGCAATTCTGTACAGAGTATGAACCAAAGAATTTAAAAACAAAAATTTGACCGCAAAAGAAACGCAGAAAGATCCTCTTGTCTTCCACAAACTGGTTTCTGTCAGCATGCGAGGTGGCTCGGTGGTTGAGCTGGCCCGACCCATCTTGTGAAACCATCCAGCTCACTGGCTTGCCACTATCCATCTGTTGTTGCTGGACTCATGGCATTTGACCCACCAGAATAAATCCCCATGGCTATCCACTCTTCTAGCGATATCATCAACAGTAGGGCAGGTAAATTTCAAAACAGTGTGGGTGGCCCTACCCGCTACGCATCAACAGTAATAAACCACAGGCAGCAGCATTGAGTGAGGGCTTCTTTTCCCCATCTCTCTCATAATTAGAACAACATTTACTGCCGGCCATCTACTCGGAATCACTGTCCATGCTTTCCATCCCCTTCAGCCCTCTTCGTTTTTGCTGCATGTGAAATTTCACATCCCATGAATAACTCAAACCAAGGAGTTTTAAGGCTTGATGCTTGGAAAACTGATGCTACAAACAGGCATGGACAGTAAAACATTTTTCTTTTTTCCCCGTGCATTCAATTTCATGCCCTTATATGTACCAGCCTCCACCACCGTCCATATTAATATAAGATAATATGTCATGTCTCAAACAGACAGAGGCCGTGTACCATCATCCATCCCAATGACTTGATTTATTTATTATTTTGGTTTGAAAAAGAATTCACCCTCTCATTATGCTAGACGATAAATCCAACAACCCTTTCATGGAAGAGTTTCTTAGGGAAAGAGGAGAAACCCTTGGGTTAATGGGAGGCATGCGGTGGTCTTACACGTGTTCATACAGTTGGGATTCGTGTCTAACATGCCTAACACAAACAAGTGATCGACCAATGCTTAACGACAACAGCGTCATATATGTGCCAGTGATTGCAATATGCAAGGGATGGAGACGTGGAGCAAGCAAACAGAACAAAAAAATAAATAAAAAAACACGAACACAAGTTGATGTTGAATGGCATGATCTGTTTCAGTTCACAGGATGTTAGAAGCAGAAAGACCATTACCTTCTTCACACATTTCTTCTCTCTAACCTCGTACCTACTCTTTGTTAAGTCAGATAACCACATCCCTGGAAAACAATACTGCCCAAATACACAAATATATATAAAAGAAACCCATCAAAATCCTTTATCATTGTTGCAAGTAATATCAAAAATATTCAAAAGATGACAAGTTTGTGATTACCTGAAGTGCTTTATCAATGTTCTTAGCCCTTTTCTTGGGTCGTTGTGGTAGTTTTGTGCCCTTCATTGCAAAGAAATCATCCTCTTTTTCCTTCCTTGACAAAGCAATATATATCCTTGGCCACTCGATGACTTCGTTGGTGTTCGCCTTTTCTCCTCCGCTAGCTACTACTGGAACTGAGACAGTATTGCTAGTTATAACCCCAGCTTCCTTCTCTGATTTAGACGGCGTGGAATCAACTTGATTCATTTGATGATCAGCTTGTACTAATGATCCATTTGGTTTCTCATCCTTTGCCGCTGACCTAGAGCGAGGCATCTTTCTATCAATGTTTTCTGGTGTTGGAGGAGATCTCTTTTCTGCAGTAGATCTAGAAACAACCCTGCTACTGCCACCACTATTTCTTGATGGGACCCATTTCCAGCACCGGATCGCTTTTCTAAATTCCTGGTCATGGCCACCAAAAAAAAAAAAAAAAAAGAGAGATGCAAACTTTGCTGATGAGAAATGCTTTGGTTTGGTTCTGAGAAACAGGCAAACAAAAGGGGGTTTTCTAAGACTTCGAAGTGAATATGGATCAAGGGCAGAAAAAGGGACAAGGGGAATTTAATACCCACCTAAAACAAGAAAAAGAAAGCATGTAACCTTATTAGATAGCATATGATAGCTGTAAATACACAATCAGTACATGACTGTGTTTAAGGATTGAGAAAAACAAAAAGATAGACAAACACATTTCACAAAATTCACCAATACCAATAAAGAGCAGAAAACTAAATACGGTCCTATAGCCTTTTTCTTTGAAAGAAGTTTCAATTAGATGGGAAAGTCTCAAGATGAGGACAGAATGGTCATGACATGAGCAGGGACATTAAAAAAAAAAAAAAAGGGCACAAAGTGGGTGGGTGATGCCATAACCCCATCAAACTAACAAGCGAAAATGAGAAGCGAAGTAAATCAAGAACAAAGCGAACACAGATCAGGGGAGAGGTGACTGCGAATGGTAATAGACTTCTTGGATATCCATCAAACCAACAGGTGAAGAAAGATGAGAGATTGATATATATTCACATTCTTCTCCCGTTTTTTCAAGGGGTAGAAAGGTAAATCACTTCAAAAAGAAGTTGCTCTTCAACAACTATATGAACAGAGAAGTTAACAATATCATATGTTTAGATCCCAAAACTTCCTCAACCTCAAAATAAGAAATCAAGAAAAGATCCCACCAACCAAACTATATCATCCAAATAAATTTCAAGGAATATATACCAAAAACTCATCAGTGTTGTAGGCTATCAAACATCAAACAACATCTAGCACATAATCTTAAGAAATAATTTTATAACTTGACAAATATCCAAAAAAACATATTTTATAAAATTAAAAAAAAAATGAGTACCTCTGTGAAAGAAACCCAGAATTTTCTTTCTTCAAGTTTCCACCTCTGGTGCTAGTACTAATGGACTGTTGGGATGGTGGTGGTGGTGGTGGAGGCGGTGGTGGCATGGTGGGCGGAGAGAACTTGTTATCAACTCTCCTAGGAACCCTGTTGATGGGTTGTCTAGCTTGACCAGAAGATGACGATTCATCAGCCAAGGCCCTGATCTCAGACCTTGACACTCTAGCTCTCTTCTTTTGTCCCCATTGCAACAACATATCACCGTTGCCACCTCGGCTCGGGCTAGGACCCGGACTAGAGTCACGTCCTTGTGTCTGATTGTGGTTGTTCTCCGAATGTGGAGAACTGGTTGTACTGTTATTGTGGTGGTCTTGGTTTCCCGATGGAGATCTAAATCTGAAACCTTTAGTATCAAAATTAGTACTTGTGGAATTGAATCCATTGGGGATTGACCTTCCGTTCTCGGCTCCATTGGGTTTTTTGTCATTGCTTAAAGGAGCACAATCTGGGCTTACTCTCTGATACCTGTACACAATAGAGAAGCCGTTCATTATTAGTAGATAGCAAAGAGATGATCCGCAAGGCAATGCATAAGGATTATAGAAAGACATCAGAAACATATAGAGAACTGTGTAGTCCAAAGATCATATAATTGAAAAGAGAAAATTGCAATCCTTTCACTGGATCCGGCGCGTAAACCAAGATTAACACATACCATTTTCCTAGGTGAACCTATTGGCTACCACATCATACAATCCGTGCATTCATTCATTCTCAACATAAAACCCAGATTAATCAACCCTATAGATTAGTGAAAGAAAATTAATGGACATAGAAATTGAAGTAATCAAAACACCTCATTTAACTCGAGCAATGTTAGGAGTGCAATCACAAAGGAAAAACTAGAGAAACAAAGAAGTGGTGGAGCATTGAAGTTGATGATAAATGAGGATTCCTTTGCATACTGTAGAAAAGAGGAGGTCGAGATTGAAACGGGTCTTTGACTCCAGCCCGGGAAGAAATGAACATTGCAATATGACATTTAATAGATAAGGCCTAGCTAATCCAAGCAGCAGCAGCAGCAGACTTTTGAGGCCAAAAGAGTCGTCTTTGCTTTTAAAAACAGAGATTTTGGATCTTTGTATTGTCGACAACAGCAATTGACATTAGACAATGGTGGCTGATCGAAACACACAAATTGATGAATACCAGAACCCAAATAATATCTAGATCTTATTGACCATCCAATTCATTGAAGAGAGTGTTTAATCTCACTCTCGAGAGACAATTGATTATTCATCGTATCGTATTATATTTGTTTGTTGAGGAACTTGTCTTTGAAACACTGGAGCATTGTTGTTGATTTTCACAAAGAAATCTGCGAACGAAATCATCTTCAGAACACACAAATAAAAAACAAGCAAAACCCAAGTTAATGCCTCCCCCTCCTCATCATGACCACCATCACCAACAAACAACAACAAGAACCATTGAATCCGGATCCAACAACCAATCCATCTATTCAAAGTCGATAAAATAAAACCAAAAGAAAGCAGAAAGATCAACACTCTAGGCCAAATTTAGATTTGAAAAGCATCCAGACGATGAAAAAGAAAAAAGAAGATGGATGAGTTACCAAGATGAAGGAGGAAAAAAAAAACAGAGAATACTTGTTGAGATAACAAAGAAGGGCACAGACCTCATCATTGTAACCAAGCAAAAACACTTGATGATGAAACTTAGATATTGATACGACTATGTAGACGTTAAAAGTGGGATTCTTGGTTTTTCTTCTAAAGAGATATATTATAAATCTTCATTCAACGGTTTCATCAGCAATGGCTTTCTCATAATCCCATCAAGCAAGACATGTGAACTCAAAGAGACGCCGAGAGAGAGAGATACAAGAGAGAAAAGAGCAGTGGGAGAGAGAAGAGGAAGAAGAAGCCGAGAGGAAGGCAAGGCAGGGAAACAAATACTTTTAGTTGAGTTTACATGGAGATAGGTATATAAATGCGGTTGCTACTCCTACACTCTACCACAGTAGTGTAAGGAAAGGGTTGGGGTATTTTCCATTGGGTCTTGTCTATTATGTCCTTCGTATTCTATTTTGCATCGCAACAGGAACTGTTCCAGCGGGTCAACCAACCATTCCGTGGACTTGCTACTTCGCTCAGCTCGAGACTCGATTAATAATATTGTTCTGGGCTTTTTTTCATTTTCATTGTTAAAAAGAAGCATAAAACTTTAATTTGATTCCTCGTTTTATTTTATTTTTTTGCATGATTAGTTTTTTTTTTATGGTTTGGTTTTAAATTTTATTTTATTTGGTTGAAAGGAGAAAGAAAAGGTTGTCAGAAAAAATAGATGAGAGAAAAAATATCTGGCCGACTATATTTTAGCTATAAAAAAGGTGATTTTTATGCTTATTGGCTTATTTTAGAGAGGATAGTTCAATGAAAATGATTTTACTCTTTAAACATAAAAAAAAAAAAATGATTTTACTCTTTAAACATAAAAATAAAAATAAAAAGTTAATTGAGACCCGAGAATTTTGTGATTCGAAAAATGTTCACTTGGAGCAGGGCGGCATAGCACAAAAAAAGAGAGGGAACAGGATATGCTATAATCTAAAACCTTCAAAGAAAAAAAAAACAAAGAAACAAAACATTATAACTACAGGGAGCACCTAAAATATTGTATTGTTATCCATAACTTGCCAGCAAGAAATTACAATAATTTCTATATAAAAAGATTAGAAAACCTTATTAAAATCGAGTAGGGAAATAAAAATAGAAAAACCATTATCTTCAAATAGAAAAACTAGTAAAAGCCCAATAATATTGAATAGGAAAATAAAAATTGAAAAAAAATTATAAATTGAAGATGAAGAAATAAATGCAATTAAGGAGAATATTTATTTTTAAAAAAACCATTTCATTGGTCTTTCTATATTAAAAAAGAACTTATCTTCAAGTTTAAATTATTTAAAAGGAATCATCTTTTTAGTCAAAATTTATCCTCCACTATGAAAATATTCAACACGAGTTCATGGAGTATAACCTCTTCATCTAGGTAGCATGATCTTTTTGTACATGGGGCACTCTATAATGGATTCCTATATCTTTGTATAAATTGTCATATCATAGATCCAATCATCAGGATTTTTTATAATAATATATAGTAGTTAATCACTGGATTTTCAATAACAATATATAATAGTTAAGCACTGTGAATTGTTGTGCTCTAATACAAACTAAAACAATCAATATCAAATAATAACATGGTTGTTACAATTTAAAATCCTAAAAAACCCACAAGATTTTTTATATATAAATTTAGACTTTAATATTAAGTGAAGGTTTGTTATAAGTCAAAATCATCTAAAGACCAATAATATCATGACTAATAGGAAACACCCCGAATATTTATTTTTATTCATTAAAGTTTCCTTTGTGAGAATACTATCATAACATTTTATATAGGGAAAATTATAAAATTAAAAAAATAGGAAAATTATCATCTCTGAATATAAAATATAGAAAGGCTTTATAATATTGAATAGGAAAAAAAATAAAATTTTGTACAATAAAAAAATAAAAATATTTATTTTTCCAAAAAAATTTGGTAGTAAGAATTTCTAAGTCTATGCATGCTCAGCCTTTTCTTTTAGACCAAGCTACGCATGGTCTTTTTTTTAAAATAACCTTTATTTTTTGTTTTTTGTTTTTTAAAATTTAAATAAAATTATATTTAAATATATTTATTAAGTAATATTTGAAATAATTATCTTATCATTCTGTAGTTTTGAAAAGATTATAATTTTTTAATAATAATATTAACAATTACTGCATGAACAATTATATATTGAGCTAACATGCAATTTTTTTAAAAAAACAAATTGCTCATTTTTATTAATACTTGATGAAAATAAAATATCTATTTTTTATTATAATTTTTGCATATTATTGTTCTTATTTTTAAATATAAGTACATAAATATTCAGTTTATATTTTTGTAATTAAAACATGTTTTTATGATTATGAAAAGATTTTATTTAAAAGCAATACTTGCATAAAACAATGCTCTCTTCAAAACAAGAAAGAAATGCATGAATAGGGAAAAGAACTTTGGATTAAAAATTACATTTTTTCTTTAATTTAAATAATTAAATTTTATACGAGTATGTTTTAAATTTTCATTAATTTTTATTTAATAAATCATGCTACCAGAAGATATATTATTATGAAAATAAAACAAAATACATGGATATGAAATATAATTTTGCATAAAAATATATTGTTTCTTTAAAATTTTAATCGTTTTAATTGATATATAATTAAATAAAAATATACTTAAATTTTTTATATATAATTAAATAAAAATATACTTAAAAAAAATTTACTATAATCACACCTACAAAACACTATTTATTAAAATAATATATTATTTTTCATTTATTTCTTATTTATTTTGTTTAAGTTTTTTTTCTTTTCAATTTAACCCTTTAATAACACAATCTTCTTCGATTTCTATAAAGTTTTTGTTTTTCAATTTTTTTATTTGGCATTAAGTTGTTTTGAGAAATAAGTTTTGTAATTTATCTTTCCTTTTTGTTGAGTTATGTACCAGTCTTGTAAATTAAACTTTTTTTTTTTAATTTTAACTTTCAACACTAGATTTATTGGAAATGAGGTTTTATATTCTATTTTTTATTTATACATGAATTCATCTTAATCTAATAATACCTATCATGATTTTAACAGTTTAACCCAAATTAATTTTGATTTTTTTTAATGTTTTTTCTAATTAATTTTTTTAATCATGCTTCAACACTAGGTTTGTTGGGAATCGAGTTTCGTATTTTTTTTCGATCGCTTTTCATGGGATTATTTTGATTTCATGACTTGAGTTGCAGAGTTAGCATATTAACCCAGGTTATCTCTATTTATTTTTTTTCCTTTTTAAACTTGATTTTTCTTAATTTAGCTATGTAGATTTTTTTTCCTTTTTAAACTTGATTTTTTTTTTTAATTGGGCTATGTATTTTTTTTATTTGCTTTTCATGAGATTATCCCGATCTCATGATCCTGTCGTGTGCTTAACATGTTGACCACGATTGACTCAATTTATTTTGTTTAATTTTTTTTTTCAATTTCACCCTCCAACAACACAAACTTTTTAAATTTTATATATAAATACTAGGTTATTTCATAATTAAATTTTGAAATTTTATTCAATTTACTTTTCATGGATTTATCTTAGTATTATGAATTTTTTCTTGATTTCAACTACTAACATTAGATCTATTGGAAATAGAGCTTCTTAAATTTTTTTATTTTCTTTTCATGATACTATACTAGCCTTTTAACCTAGATGACGAGTTTAACGAGTTAGTCCGGGTTGATTTTAGTTTTTTATTTTATTTTTTTAACTGGTATATATATTTTTTTCATTTCACCATTCAATATTGAGTTGGTTGTGAATTAAGTTTCATAATATTTTTTTGATTTGATTTATGAGTTTATCCCAATCTCACAATCTAAGCTGTGGATTTAGTAGGTTAACGCCAGTTTATTCAATAAGTTTTTTTCTTTTTTTTTAATTTAATAATTTTTTTTAATTTCATCCTTTAACATTGAGTTGATTAAGAATTAGCCTTAATAATCTATTTTGATTTACTTTCTATAAAATTATCATGATTTTATAATCCGGTTGAAGATCTAATATATTAATTTGTTTCGATTTAGTATATTATTTTCTCAATAGTTTTTTAAAATATTTTATAATATATCATTGTATCACTATTGAAAAAAATCATCTAATATATATTATATTTTAAATTTATAATTAATTTTTTTACCAGAAAAAACATAAACAATATTAGGATATATTTTTTATTGTTTTAAAAATAATCCGACTCACGGTGTGCCAAAGCATGCTATTTTAACCGTTGATTGTTCTGTTTACTGCCCGCTCAGGATCCGAGGCCAATTCAGCAATAATACTCTTCTTCAACTACGAACTTGTGAAGGTGTTTTCCTTTAATTCTTGTATTTTTTGTTTGTTCTATTTTTCGCCGTATTGGATTTTCTCAAATTATGCAAATGCGTCAAACAATTAAGCACTCGTTCTGTTTTCCTTGGCAAAAGATCGTGGTATCGAGCCGTTTGTTTTTGAATTTCACCTTATTGAAGTGTTTCTTTTTCTTTTTATTTTTTTATTTAAAGAAATATTAAATTAATGTTTTTAGATATTTTTATATAATTTTAGAATATTAATGATAAAAGCAAATATATATATATATATATATATATATATATTTAATAGAATTTTCCATTCAGCACATTCAAAGTGTATCAACACATTCATGTACTTTTTTTTCCTTGAAAAATCGGCACTTGTTAATCTTTGACCTAGCTTTATTCGAAAATTGAGCTTTAAACTTACATATTATCATATAATCTGATGCAATCTTCATTGTCACGGGGATTTATCTGATGTTTATAATTATCCTTTCTTAATAATGAGGTTTTTTGGGTTCATATTTTATAATATTTTGAATTATTTTTGTTTAGGATTAATTTTTTATATTTTTAATTCATTTTAATATGCTGATGTGAAAATAATTTTAAAATAATAATAAAATAATATTTTAATATATTTATAAATAAAAATTATCTAAAAAATAATTATTATTACATTTCTAAACATCACAAAAATCATTAGGGAGCAATGTCACATATGAGGTATTCTCATCAGCAATGCACAGTCTTTTTTTATAAAAAAATGAATTAGCTCGAGTGATTGTGATGACGATCCGACCGGTGGACTATTATATTTAATTTAATGAATTAAATGGGTTTATTGAAACGGTCTTTTTGCATATAGCCGTGGATACTAGTGGAGGCTGGGCTAGGGGGAGTGCCTAACACCTTCTTCTCCCATGCAATACATACGAATCCAATCTCTGGCATTTTGTGAATTCTGGTTTGGCATTTTTGCCGGACTCTCACACTGTTAGGCC